TTGTATCAACAAAGTTTATTTCTAAGTCTATCAGAAATTTACTGTACAGCAAAAGTAACTTTATTTTCAGCGTGAACCATATTTAAGGAAATACTCAATGCACTTAAGTTATAAGATGAAATAATTTACTTTTTATAAACATTATGTTTAGGTTGCAAAAGCCCAGTGGCAGGGAAGGAACATCAGTTCATTTCAGGCAATAGGTTTGGGTTTCGGGGTTGGTTATTTTTGGTGCTCTCAGGTTGCCCCACTGGTTTTGAGGTGCAGTTGAAACCCAAAGCAGGGCTGGCTCCAGGGACCTGCTTCTCCTCCAGAAGATCGATGGGGACAGCACAGTGGCCAGGTCCTGTCCCCACCACTGGACGTGTCCAGGAGGTCAGTGCGGGGTGGACAACGCTGCTGGAGCTGGTGGACATCCTGGCCCATCAGGGCCCAGCCATGCTTCTCTGCATCACCTCTCTCCTTCCCACGGCAGGACCCAGCCTGCCTCCGCCAGCAACCCCATCCCATACCTCAAATATGGGTGCTAGACCAGTGTGAGCTGCTGTCCTGTCTCTGGAAAACACTGCAGCCTGTATTGCCACCCCTCAGGCAAAAGAGAAAGGAGGGAGAGCCCTACATTTCCCACCCCATGCTCAGGTTCAACCCTGCAGGAGCCGTGGGAACCTGGGGAAATTTCTCCTTAGGGTCGAGCCTTCAGCTGACCCTCACCTCATCCCCACTCTTGTTTTCATGCGTTGTGTCCTTTTGTGCTGCTGTTCACAAATGATGTAAGTGACAACCCGTAAAGACATGCAAGTGACTGTGAGGCTCAAAACACTGGCTCATCACCACCGTACAATCTGACACTGAATGTAGCAGGGTCTGGAGATGGCTGACCCGGTGGGAGATGCTGACACACTGTCAGAAATCACATACCAAGATGAAATTAAAAAGCCAAAAAAAAAAATCTCTGCAAAAAACCAAAGCCTGGTCTCTTCTTGCATGGGGTGTCCCATTGATTCAGAGAGGGAAGTGTTTGAATTGTCTCCAAAGTCGGCAAGGTGTTGGGTAGGCTATGGTGAGACCATGGAGGAAGCTTCTGCTCCTTGGGTTTTTGATATCAAATATTCTCTGGTCTGGGACTAAATTGGCCCCTGAGGGTCCTCCGTGGCCAGTGGGCAGAGATTGGTGGATCTGGAAGGTGACACACCTATCTCTGGCTCCCACCCAAGGCGGCAGTGAGGGGCTTATTGGGGCTCTCCACTGGAGATTGTGCAGGATTGTGCAGGACTAGCTCAGCCCTGAACAGCCAACTTTCAGACATCTGTAGGCAGCAGAGATGACTCCCAGATAAAATGACAAAAGAAAAAGGGAGGCCAGACACCAGGCAACCTTGACAACAAGGAGGGGTCTTGTAGAAAGGATGGGCAAAAAAGAGAAAAAGTAGTGTTTTGCATGTGTGCCAGCTCTCTGCATGGGCTCATGTGTGTTTGTACCACCAGAAAACTGCTTCATGTTTACACCTGCCCACAGTGTTTCTACACTCTTAGCATTGAAGGAGAGCTAGAGAAGCCAGGACAGCCAGGTTACTAGCAAAACATTTTCCCGAACACATGAGCTCTTGGCTTAAAATGCCCTGCAGACCTCATTGGTACCTTCACATCCCTGGTTGCCATCCCAGCTCACTGAGCACAGGATGGCTGGGAGGCATTCACCCTCCTCCCAGGCAGGGGGAACTGGAGGAGTGGGAAAGTGTTTCTGCAGGCCAGGTTACCCCATAAGTGCTCTCACCTGGACTATCACTTCACCATGAACCCCAACTCTCCATGGCAGGGCCATGGGCAACTCCATGTTAGGACTGCCTAAAAGATATGGGTGGGTATTTTGCAATAGGAGTTGCTCTCATTGCAGCTCCCTGACATAGAGAGGTTCCACCATGTGCTGATGCTACCAAATTGGGCATGGGGATCCACACCTCGTTGTCTGAGATGTTCAAAACAAGGTGTTCACCTTCCTGCCCCTCATCAGTCACTGCTTTGCTGTCCCTGTGCTATAAAATGCTTTCAAAGTCCAACCTGCAGGAAAAAAATATTCCAAAATGGTGTGGCTTCATGAAGAAAACTTGTGATTTTTATTTTGCAAGTTGTAGTTGCAAGGAACTAGGAACAGCCTGGATTTCTTAGGTTGGTTTGGGGTTTTGCTCTGTTTCAGGACAGAAGAGCATGGCACCTGACCCTATGAACTGCAACTGTTGCAAAACCCCCAGCAGTCCCAGCCCGGCAGTGTCCGGTTTGTTCCCTTCACCCGGTCATGTCTTGGGACAGGGTGCTGGGCAGCCTGCCTGACCCAAACTGCTCGGGACTGTGTTCTTGGTCATCCTGCAGCTGAGTGTTTCCCCTCGCTCCCCAAAATGAAAACTTATTTTTAATCACTGCACAGGCTCTATTTTCTCTTGACAATAACATTTGGATTACAAAACATCTCTGAGCCCTTATCTGGACTCTGTTGCCCCCAAACATGAGCTGAAAAAGCACAGAAAGAAGGCTGGAGAAATGTCTAACATGTAGGAGAAGGCTTTCCATGGAGAATTAAATAAGCTCTATTGAGCTGCAAGGTCTTCTCTTCCAGTAGAAATATCTCATCCGTGCTTGCTTGCTCATTTGGGATGTAATCAGTGAGTCACCAGGTGAAGGTGTTGCAGGAGCGAGAGTAAAACCCTGCAAAAGCAGGATTCACAGGTTGTTTAGGCTTGGGAGGAGGTAGGAGGATGTGCATTAAAGAAGCTGACTGACCCGATCTGAGATGATCTTATGAAGGACAGCAGGGTAGGTGCTTGTGTGTAAGCTTTGCTGTGTTTCTAAAGCCCTTGCTCTTTCTAAGAGAGAATTACATGTTGGGGAATTTCTTTGTAGAGACTGTGGTATTTGTGTGTACTTTACTCTTGCAAAACACAAGGGTGGTACCTCTTATAAGTGCTAGTATTTTTTAATGTTGGCTAAGCATAATTTTTTTTAGCTGGTGGTCTCCAAACCCAACCTCTGTGTGGACAACATGGAAAGGCAAAATCCTGTCTTTTAGTTTGGGATTTTGGCACAGGAAGGCTCCACAGCAGCAGGGAAAAGGGCTGGACCTGTGCTGGCATGGATAGGTTGGGGAAATTATGGCTTGAGATTTCTCTGTCCCTGGGCTTGGTGGTCTTGGAGAAATGTTGGCTGGCTCTAGTGGAGCAGAGGGGATCTGGGTTGGGGTGAGGCTGACAGTCACTGTGAGCTGGAGTTGGAGATGTACTTTGCTTGTGGAAAGGGGGCAGATCTGGGGTAGGTGGAGCATGTGTGGCGTGGAGGAGCTGCTGTGACCCATGAAGCCAGTATGAGCCTGATTTGTAGGATCCAGCTGTAGGTAATGGCTGGGTTAACACCACCCAGGCTTGCAATAGAAAAATAGATGTTTTCATTAATGGTTATTAAAATTGCCTTAAAAATTCCTCTCACTTGGATGTTTCTTAAAACATCATATTTAAAGGGTTTTAAAAAAAAAAAATCTTTTAAAGATAAAAGGCTTGTCTTCCCCACCCACCGCTATCTCCTGTTTGAAAAATGTTCACCTACATCAGTCTGGCTTTCCATCAGCCTAACTATCAATTTACACTTACCAAATTACTTCCCCCAAAATAAAACCCCCATAAAACCCATGTCATACAGACTGGTTGCCTACTTTTAAAATCTTGCAAAAATGTAATGACATGCTATAATAACAGTATCTCAAGGTATGTGTGTGTATATGTATAAAATTGTGACATATAGCATATAATTTTGGGGAAGGATCAGTATTGTGGAAGGGGGCAGATCTTTGTCTAGTAAAATCAGCAGAATTCATGGTCTTCAACCTGTTCTCCTTCTGCAAGTTGGCCTGTGTGCTTGACACAACCTGAACACAAGTCCAACTTGCAATTGTGCAATGCAGTAGCAGATGTGGGTCCTCCTGTCATCTGGATTTCATATTCTGTTGTGCCTTATTTCAGAGTGTGGATGGATCCTGCCAAAGCAAAAATGGCTGGGCCTTACCTTCTGCAAGTGAAGGACTCACTGCATGGCAGATGACTTCTTGTCAGGCTGGGCGGGTTGTTGGATGTCCCTGGGTGGGTGGTGGGTTTGCTATGTTCGGGACTGGTCCCCCGAGATGTAGTTTCATGGTGCTGCTTTGCCATACAGGGAGCAACTCCCTAGGACAAATGGTATCTTCTTGCCAAAGTCAGGAAGAAAAGAACAAGGTCTGTCACGAAAACAGGCTCTACTTT